CACTTCTGTCTTGGCTTGATTTCTCTCCCTGTTAGCAGCTCTTCTCAGCAAATATCCCATGACTCTGGTATCTCCAACATCTTGGGGTCTCCAAGGAAATCCACACTTCAACTTCACACACAATAGTCTTTCTAGGCCTCCATTAAAGGACACCCCTGACACATGCTTGACCTCAGTGACTTTTCTTAGACTCGGATGTTTCAGGTTATTTGTTCTAACTGACATTCTGAGACTGGCAGTAAAGTTTACCTTGAATCAGAGGGCAGAATCAGCAATTGGCCAACCTGAATTAGCCATAGAGATTTTGGAGGGCCAGATAGGAGGACACAGGAAGATACAAGGAGGGTTTAGAGAGATTCACGGTCCTTTTCAATCCAGGAAGCATGGACAGTTAGGGTCAGCTAATTGTTCCCCCTTTGTTGTCACTCTTTGGATCTATTAGCTTTTTATCCCAATATTTGACTCTTGAGTTTTTATTGATATTAGAAAAACTTAGAAAAATACATCACTTGGAGGCAAATTCCATAGTGCCTTTCTTCTGTCCTTAACTCTAAAACCAGAACCGTATGGTCAAAGATGCCTAGTTTTGTTGCTTTGTGGGATTAGAACAGGACCCCCCTGTTCAATTATGTCTTCATTGACTTTCTGTTTTCAATGATTTTCTTTACTTTCTAATCTTCGCTGTTCTGGAACTTGTTCTGTAAACCAGGCTGCCCTCAAACTCAGAGATCCATAGATCTTTGCCTCTGGAGTGCTTGGATTAAAGGCCTGCACCACCACATGCAACTAAGTTTTTCTTTAATTCCTTCTCACAAGTTGGAAACTGGGCTGGGTGGGATCTTGCTCTGAGTTCACCACTCCCTTTAATATATTTCTTAATCTGTTTATTTCCTTGAAAACAGGACTTAGTTCCATTCCACTTCCTTATATTCCTTTTCTCCTCAAATTGAACATTTTGTAGTTTTACTTTCTAAGTTTATTCCATGTCATTATAAATCTTCATTAGAGTTACAACTAATAACCACAGGCTGTTTTGAGAGTTCCTTTGCCTATGAATTAATTTAAAACTTTTGTGTTTAGCCTCATCAGACTTTTAAGACAAAAGTAAAAACAATCACATTTTTCACTAAACTACCCCAAGAATGATCTCTATGCCTCATACTAAAATTCTTCTCTTCTGAAACCTCTTGATCCAGGCCTGCACTATTCAAATCACACTCAGTCCCACTGTCTTCCATGTTCCTACAAGAATGTCCCATTCAGTAGCACTTAAAGTGTTCAACTGCTTTTCTAATTCACAGTACAAAGATCCATATTCCTTCGAAGAAAACCATGGTCAGGTCTATCACAACAACATCTCAGTCCCTTATACCAACTTTTCTGTTTTAGGGTTTCTATTGCTGTGGAGAGACACCATGACCATGGAAACTCTATATAGGAAAATATTTGATTGGGTTGTCTTACAGCTTCGGAGATTTAGTACATTATCATCATGGTGGGATATGGTGACTTGCAGGCAGATATGGTGCTGGAGAAGGAGCTGAGAGTCCTGCAGGCAACAGGAAGTGAACTGTCTCATTGGGTCATATCAGCAATATAGGAGACCTCAAAGCCCACCCCAATAATACACCTCCTCCAATAAGGTCACACCTACTCCAACAAGGCCACACTTCTTAATAGTGCCACTCTCTTTTGGGGCCATTTTATTTCAAACCACCACATAATTATTCAACTCAGATTTTGGAACTGAGTCTACCTCAAGCTAATACCATTTGCCATCTTTCCTCATTGTATTTTATAAGGCAAAAATGTATATGGCATTAGATTTTTTTGTTTGCTTTTTGTTTTGAGGCAGAGTTTCTCTGTGTATCCCTGACTGCCCTGGATCTTTCTCTCTAGACTAGGCTGACCTTGAACTAAGAGCTCATTCTGTCCCTGACTTCCAGATCCTGGGATTAAAGGTATGTGTCACCACATTCAGAAAGGTACTTTAATTATTCTTCACATTTATTAGAGAAATTATATAGCAAGTTTGACCTTCCATACTTTCCATCAATCACTTGGTAGAGTCAGGAGTGAAAAGACCCCTGTAAATAAATAAAATTTATCTACTCTCTGTGTCCTCTGTCCCTCTGCCTCTGTTTACCCCCTCTTTCTCTTTGTCTATGTATCTGCGTGTGTGTGTCTGACTATGGGCAAGTGGGCTCACAGGTGTGGCCACCCAGAGGGGCATGTGTGGAGGCCACAGGTTGACATCCAGTTATTTTCCTCATTGTTTAAGGCAGGACCCTCCACTAAACCCTGAACACTTTATTTTAGTTAGGCTCCCAAAAATTCTTTTGCCTTCACCTCCCAGTTCTGAGCTTAGCATGTGCACCATGAATCCTGATGTTTAAGTTGGTGCTGAGGGTTCAAACTCAAGCTCTCATGTTTGTGTAACAAACACTTTACCAATTTGCCCATTTCCCCAGCCTTGAAATTTAATTTGGTTAGGTAAAGTATTAGTCTCAGTGCCAAGGTCTTATTCTGATTCTTAAGTCCCACCCACTGAAGGAAAAGTTAGCCTGCGTGTGCCTTCATACGTGTGTGTGTGTGTGTGTGTGTGTGTGTGTGTGTGTGTGTGTGTGTGCATATGTGTGATCGTTAACTTCTATTTTTCTGGTCACTATGGGTGACTTAAAATACAAAATGTAACTTGTTATATTCAGACCTCTTATCATGTAGCTAAATAAAACCTTTGTTTCATGGAAATTCAAATGTAAGAGCACTATATTGGAGTCTAAATTGATATCTTTGAAGATATGTAGATTTAAGCTTAATTCCCCTTCTCTCCACTCCTCTGTTGAAGTCAGCCAGATTCTAGCTCCAAATTTTTTGGTTAGTTGTACCAGCAGAAGGATTTCCAGCATCTACATGCTGTCTAAAGCAAGCCATTCAGTCCCAAATGTCCTATACTGGTTTCAGTTGTTGCCTCTCCCTCACGTAAGGGGAGGTGACTGGATCTTGACTTCCTAATTGGATTGAGAGGCAAATCACTGAAGCTTTTTCTAATGCTTATTTCCCCACTTGAAAAAAAAATGACAATGATAATTTTATCCTAGTTTTATTGAAAATTCTTAAATGGTTTCATCATCACATATACATGGTCTGTTTATAGATACTTGATAGAATTACCCTTGTTAATAATGTTTCAATAAAATCTCATTGAAAGAATTGTTGCATTATCTTAATATTTAAATTATAATAAAAATCTCTATCTTATTAAAAGTGGAGAATGTCAGCAAATTTGACTTTTAGTAATATTTGTTTTGCTTTACTTAGTATTGTTTTTGGAAATGCAGTGATTGCATGCTAAGAATTAAAAGCAAATAAACCATATGCAACTAAATAAAAATATCTGTTCTGTCAACCATAACATTAATTAAGAAGGTAAAGTACTAATTAGATGGCTGCTTTGTAATTATCTTTATAATGGAGCCTCTGCCTTTTGAAGCCTCTTTTTAAGTCTTTGGAGTTATCAATTTCTCTGATCTGGGATATTTTCCCATATTTTATAGTGTTGTTACATTTGTTTCTTAATCAAAGGAGTAGGTTTTCTTAAGTTCTTGTCTCCATTCCCAATCTCTTTTTTGGTTTAAACTCATTAAGCATTCGGAAACAGAACAGCTCTCAATGTCAGAAACGTTCATGGGTATTTTTGCATCTTATTCCTCAAACTTTTCTCAAAATTCTTCTCTTTCCTATACCTGAGACTACCCTGGTCATGCCTTAGCCATAATAGTGTTTTCTTGGTGCTCTAGCTCGGAGGTTCAGTTTCTTTATCTCAGTTAAGACTGATGACAGTTTTCTACTTTCCCTTGTTCTTGGTGACGAGACAAATACAGATGTCTGGTCTTCTTATTTGTAAGGGTAAATGTCTGCAGATTTCTGTGGAGTACAGAGAGGTAGAGAGACTTTACCCACATATTTATAGTGGTATTATGAGGCTGAAGTTTTACCTCACTTTGCTTTTGTATAACATCTGCTGTACAATTACACTCTATGCTGCAACAATGCCTATTGATAATTGCTGGTATCTTATAGATGCAATGAACACACTACAAGCCAAAGAAAAACTGTCATTGTTTTGATTTTTGATAACCACTCTTCCTTTTTTGTGGAATAGAGGCACAATCAACTTGTTTGACCAGACTAAAATATAGTCTCCGGACACTGGAAAAAATATCTGGATTTTGTGTTAATCATATGGTTTGCTACTATTTCAATTAAATGTTGCTTACATATATATAATTTATTTTAGTGATCTAATTCAATGGAGCAAAATCTTCCAGATAAGTTTCAATTTGCTGGTCAGAATACTATGGCATTGGATTAAAGGAAAACAACTTAGAGCCTACGCTGAACAGGGCGTTTTCTCATGCTCCCTTCCAGAGAAGTGAAGGCAGAGAGCGCAGCCCACAAAGGGGCCGATCCCTCTGATGTGTTGATATCGTCCTGGTCCACGAATATTTGCTTGTGCAGGTTGTCTCTCAGCGGCACCAAGTTTGGTTCCTGAGCATCATCACTTAGGCCTCTGTGCCTTAGTATTGCTACAGCATGAATTCCTGAAGTGTTTTCGTTTCCACCAAAACAAGTTCTCCATGGTTCACCTATTTAGATTCAGTTTTCGTTTTGGAGGAGTTCTAGTTAGTGCCGAAGGAAATACAGATCATTAAATAGGCTAGGGATTTATATACTCATCACACCTGCTGCTACTGCCTTAGTTATAAAAGCAAGTGGGAAAAAACAAAAGTATTAATAATAACAATAGAAAAACTCAACTTGTTGCTTTCTTATTTAGTTTATTTTATATAATGTATTTCTATCACATTTCCCCCTCTTCCATTCCTCCTTGACGCTCTCTGCCTCCTTTGCTACCCGACCTTATGTTCTTTCTATGAGCTTTAAAAAAAAAAAGGTCAAGATCTCTGCGACCGTTTACTTATTACCCACAATTCCGTTTTCTTTCTCTCTCTTCCAGCCAAGCAAGATACTCAAGGAAAGAAAGTCCACGGGGAAGAAGGTGGCCCCAATCCCCGCCATCGTGAAGAAACAGGAGTCCAGAAAGGTGATGATCCCTTGTTTGAGAAAAGGCTTAAGAACTTTGGCATTGGGCAGGACATCCAGCTCAAAAGAGACCTCACACGCTTCGTCAAATAGCCCAGCTCCATTAGGCCGCAGCGGCAAAGGGCCATCCTCTGTCAGGGGCTCAAAGTATCTCCTGCCATTAACCTGCAAACTACACAGCAGGAGAAGCAGCAAGGCTGCTGGCCCCGACTGAGAAGAAAGCTGCTAGCAAAGGGGATGTCCAGAGTAAGAGATCACCTGCCCTTAGAGCAGGGGTCAATACAGTCACCACCTTGGTGGAAAACAAGAAGGCTTAGATGGTGGTGATTGCCCGCAATGTAGACCCCATTCAGCTGGTAATCTTTCTGCCTGCTCTGTGTTGGAAGATGGGGGTCCCCTACAGCATCATCAAGGAAAACGCTAGGCTGGTGTGTCTGGTCTACAGGTAGACATACTCCACTGCTCTCTTCACACAGGTTAACTCTGATGAGATCTGCAGCCACTGGGGAGGCAGCATCCTGGGTCCCAATCTGTAGCTCGATTTGCTGAACTGGAAAAGGCAATTTTTTGCTACTAAACTGGGTTAAATGTATACTGCTAAGTTTTCTGTACATATATAATTGCAAACTTAAAAAAGTCAAAACAAACAGAAGCCCAATAAAACAAAAAAATGCAAAACAATGGTATACATACACACACACACATACACACACACACATACACACATGCCCCAAACCACAGAATTTGCTTTGTGTTGACTGACTATTCCTGGGTGTGAGGCCTGTCCTGGAATGTGGTTGGTATACCCAATGACACTCCACTATAGAAAACTATTTTGTTTTCTCTTATGTGTCAAGTATAAAGGAAAACAAACAAAACAACTAAGTCTTGCCTTTATTCTTTTTAAGTTCTGTGTGTCTGACTGAATAAATCAAAGGCAGATTAACAGAGAACATACATTTTATTTAATAATTTTGCAGATACAAAGGAGACTTCTTGAGATAAGGAAGATCAAAAGAAGTGAAGAAACAACTAGTACCAAGAGCTTTTAAACGTCAAAAGAAGAAGAAAAAAGTAAAGAATACTAAGCTGTAAAAATTGATAGTCCAAAGAGGAAAGGGAGTTTGGCTTGCAAGGCATAATAATTCTTGAGAAAGAGAAATATTTGTTGGAAATGAATGAATTACTAGGCTTGCTTATATTCATCCAGGTGCCAAGTGTCCAGAATAGTCTCATCTCCTACTCCAGGGCTGGTTATAGCACACATGAGGGATTTCCTTCCTACACTTATTGTTCTTTCATCATCATTAGCTCAAAAACCTAATATGCCTAAATGACATATTTTTCCATGGAGTGTTCCGAAGCCACTCATTTCTCTGTTGAAAACTTCAGTGTAAATTATCTTAAAGTAAAAGCTAAATTGGTGTCTGTGGGGAAAAGAATCAGTTCAGTACCTGAGTAGTGAGAGTTGCGTTAGGAGGAAATACACTGAAAAGAACACATGTAAGTACACTGCCTCCAATTCAATTCATCTTCCAATAGTGTGAATATGTCAGTCCAATAAAGAGGTTGAATCTCAATTGTCTGGTGGGTAGTGCTGGTGTCTTCTGTTCACACATATAAAAAAGATACTCTGTGTCATAGAATTCTTAGTAAACAGCATTATTCACAGGAGCTTTGTAGAGTGGTTGTGTATCTACAGGTGACTGTTTTGGCGTGAATAGTCCATAAACCAAAACCATTGCATGAACTTTTTCTTAGACCTGAGGATCTCACCTGCAGAAAGGACAGCCGGACATTCTTGTCTGGTCACAGATGCCATCCCTTCATTCATCCATCTGCTACCATGGGTCTGCTTGATGATCATATTTGCAGAGATGAAAGCAATTCATATTTTTGATATTAGTGAGATACTGGCATTACTAACAATTAGATTGATCAGTTAACATGACAAAAGTTTGGACAACTGTTGTAGGGCACTATAAAAATCATGCCTCACTTAGGAAAACAGTGAGGCTGATAGGAGAGACAAGTTTGAAATAAAGCCCCTCCCAGAAGATCAGAGGTTGAGCAGGATAGATTGAGGAGGGAGGAAGGCTTGTATTAAAAATATGTTCTTCTTCGGGCAAGTGAGAGTCTAAAAGAGGCAAAAGAAAGACGGAGTAAAGTTTTTTGATCTGTGATCTTGGGAAAATCTGCTCCTTTGTGATGTCATCTGCTTCTAGGACCTTGAATTGACTCTGGAGTTCTTTCTATGAGGTCAGCTGTTGAGATGGTACTCCAGCTGTCCTGGGAATGTTGGTGAGCCTAGCTAGGCCATGATCCACTTGAAGGCAGGAGGAGTGTCTGTTATTAAAATGGAAGTGCAGGTGGTGAGGAGATTCTCATAAGGCCCTTCCAAGTCAGGTAACAGTGCACAGTATTTTCTTAGCTTCTTGATAGACACTTGACTTTTGGGCTGAAAGCAATGGCAAGAATTATTGTTCAGTGGAGGCTCTCCTTTATTCACATGCAATATGTCCCATGTACATATGCCAGTTAGTTCCTGTGTATTGCAAATCATAACATCTAATTGTGCCTGGAAAGTCCATTCACTCTGGGAATAGAAGGGTTGTTCTTTTTTTAAAAGCACGAGATATTGCTAAGCATAAAATCACCACTAGCATTTATGTTCATAGCTGAAGTTTTCCATTATTATAAAGGCAGGCCCATTTTGGTTATTTAAGTTCAATTTCTTGACTGGAATTTTTCCATAAGTATTTTTTAATTTTTATGTTTAGATTTTCCATCTTGTCCTGATTATTAAGCATGTTATCAATTATAAAATTATTTTGAGAATTAAAATAATTATTGTGAACAAATAGTTTATTTATGATGAAAATATGAGTTTCTTGGTCAAAGTCAATCTATAATGTCAAAATGAGGAATAATCTTAGTTATTAATATCTTTACCATGGTCCTGGTGTCAGCATGAATACTCGGATTGCAATCAGTCCTTCCACTGAACATGCAGTGAATAATTCAGCAGTGTGACTGTCTCCAAAGGCAGGAAATAGGTCCATAAGGTCATGTGAAGTGTCATCGTCACTCTGTGAGACCTCGTGATGGCAGAATGGTTTCCTCTGGAAAGTTTGTAATATTTACAATTAGTAAAATAGGAAAGAATTTGCTCAGAATATGAATGCTAGGGCAGAGTCAATTGCATTTTAGTTCCCTGTCTCTCACTACTTGTGTATCTTATCCAGTGGGAAGTAAGTGAAAACCAATGATTGAAACAAAATAGGCTACAGTAGAATTTCTGGTGCAGAGTATGAACCATTTGCTGATTGTTTAAAAAACTTAGCATATTCCCCCCCCCCCAGATTTCCCTGAATGTAAATAATATTATCAGGAAAATAAGTTTGCAAACTGGGTGGAGAAAGGAAACAAAGGGATCAATTTTCAGCTGCATGTAATAACTTTGTCCGTTCTTTTATTCTCAAAAGGTTTCATTTTCCTAGGTGCAGGCTTGATGGTGGATAAACTATTTAGAAGGAAAAGGAACAGTTTGAAACACTAGCATGATATTTCCATTTGCAATAGAAATGTCAGAAAAATAAAAAAATTCCTAGGTTTCAAATACTATTACCAGTAAAACAGACTCCAAAATCCTATTTGGAACAGTGAATTGGAGCGATTTTATTGTTTCCCTGTAAATGGAGGCTTCTCTCCTGCCCACCAATTCCTGAATAATCACTCAGAAACTTAATATTACTTGTAAATAGTTGACCGATGGCTCAGACTTATTACTAGCTAGCTCCAACATATAAATTAAGCCATATTCCTTATCTATGCATTGCCGTGTGTTTCTTGGCTTGTTACCTCATTTTCTGTATGTCTTGCCTCCTCACTGGCTGGTTAGCATATCCCTGATTCCTCCCTTCTCCTGTGTCTCTGCTTGGATTTCCTGCCTTGCTATATCCTGCCTTGCCATAGGCCAAAACAGCTTTATTTATCAACCAATGAGAGCAACACATATTCACAGTGTACAGAAAGACCACCCCACTACATTTCTCAGTGTTCATGCTCTAGTGATAATTTTATTTAATTGGCCACACTCTACAGGCAGATATTTTGAAGGCTGATACAAAAATTTCTTGCCTTTGACTGACTCTGATGCCTCCAAAATGTCAGTTGTTGCTTTAGGAGTAAGCAGGGTATTTTGGGTAATGATGTTCCACCATGGTGAAAACAAACTTCTCTGAGGTTCTGTGACTTGGGCTGTAAACTGAACTAATAGGCAAATAAGAGCAAAACAAAATTTATTTAATTATTTTCATGTGCGCAGGAAAAATTCAAAGAAGAAACTATGGCCATTTAAAACAGAATTTTATGAAAAACTAACAAGACATAGGGAAATCCACTAAACTTATAGGAAAGTGACTAGAACGTATGCATGGAAAAGTTACTGTCAATAAAGAACACAGCAAAGGTTTGATTGCACAAATTCATCTTAGCATCTGCTCACAGTTACCAGTTATAGGACGGTCTACTCTTTCATGTACAGGGGAGGGTGCCTAGTACAGGCTAAGAGTTATCTCCTTGGGAGATGAGAGAGCCCTTCCCTCATCGGCTTTTGCTCAGCTCTGTCTAAGAGTTTTAGCTCCTTTAAAATGGCAGGCATTGTGTTTGAGGTCTTCTAAACCCGCCCAGAAGTGCTCTGCCATGTTTTTGAATGTACACTATTCTGCTGTAATGTTGCAAAGAAACCTGTGTACTAGTTATTTATCACCCATGTTTTATAGTTAATTAATAAAACTCTAAAGTATATTGAAGTTAAATATCTGGGCAAGGTAATTTGAGTTTTTGTCTCATCTCAATGCTGATCCTATTTGTCCTAACCTAGAATATTTCATTGGTAGTTAGGATATTTACTGATGCTACTTAAGCCTTCTTCAAGCAGGTAGGAGTTTTCTTCTGGTTGTTGAGAGAACAAATTAAGAAAGGAAGTAAAGTAATTATGACCAATTAATTAGAACATGGCCACTTTTATACTTTAAATCTGTGTGTTGAGCTATAAAATTTTCATCTATCAAAGTGATTTGATTCATTTTTAGTAACAATATGTATTTTGCACTTAATACACAAACATTATTAGCTAGTATTTTACATAAATCTGTTTCTCATCTGTAGGTCCTGATTCATAATTTCCTTCCTGCTATGAGATTTTTTTCTTCTCCCAGGAATGTCGTGGAAATGTTAACTGTCCCTGAACTTTGTCTTTGAATTTTCCATGAATCCTCTGATTTTCCTTTGTCTGATAAGAAGTCATAAGACTCCTTCTTCCAGAGGTTGCCTACCTCACACTGTTCGTGCTGGAAGTGTGTACAAAGTGGCCAAAGAGACCTTGCCTGGAGCTTCCAGTTCACAGTCATCAGAACCAACTCTCTTTGACGGCCTCATTTTGACATATTTGTCAATGCTTTTATCAAGTCAATGCAATGAAGTCACCATTGAAATTAGAAAGGACAGACTTGTGGAGTTTCCATGTGGAAAGTCCTGGGTGGTGGTTTACCTACGGAGAGTATGAGCTGTGAATGCTTCAACCACAATCATTCTATGACTCTCTCCATTCCTGTCCTTTACAGCACTTGTATGGCAGACTATTAAACCTTTTCCTTCATGTCTGCGAGTTGCTTAAGTAAATGAAATAAACCCAAGGAGAGGACTATGGGAAAGTTGATGTACAGGCAGATAGCTAAAAGCAAAGCAAAGCTACCTGTAAGCTGAGACTGCCGCCAGAAGTAGGGGTACTCCTGTGGTTCTCAGCTGTCAGTCAAGAGCTCTAGCTCTGGACAGTTTTCCTAAATCCTGCTTCTTCTCTCCTTTCTCAATAATTCACAGACTTTGATGGAGACTGTGAGCTCTGCTGTCATCCTTAACAACTCTGCATTCTCTGAAGTCAGTGGTTCTCAACATGTGGGTTGTTACCCTTCTTGGTTGGGGTCACATATCAGATATCCTGCATATCAGATATTTACATTGCAATTTGTAACAGGAGCAAAATTACAATTACGAAGCAGGAACAAAAAAAT